TTGCCCGTTGTTTACTTTTCCATAGCTAAAATAAATAAAGCTATTTTCATGCTTCCATTGCATAAACCAGTATTGCAGCTGAAATGGTGGATCAGGTGAAGTTTTGTTAAAAAAGCAAATTGCCTGCTAATTAGGCTGCCATTAATGAAACCAAAGAGAAGTATATCAGCAAAAATAGAACCCAATTGTGATGTTGGGTGGTTTTTTTTGTTTGGTTTTTTTCTTTGGTTGTTTTTCTTTTAATAAAACTCTGTAGTTAATCACTGTGAGTGGTTCATGCTGGGTTAAGAAAGAAAAAGTCAGGAGCTAAATTTGACTTCTGTGAAGCAGAGCTTTGAGCTCCAAGGTCGTATCTGGTGTGTGACCTCTCTGCAAATATTAGTGGAGTGAGATTAGCAGTGGGGAAAGGAAGCACCAGGCTTGTGGTCCTTCAGTTTAGTTGCCTTGGAAAACTGTTCTAACCTTTGTGGGGTTAAAAAAAGACAGGTTCATCCAAAAAACCAGCAATTTGTGATAGTGCTGAGTAACAAACAAATTAATGATCCTATCGGACTAATTTATGCATTAGCATACAATCTGCTTTTTGTGTTTAGTTATCAAATATTAATGCAATTGCAACTTTGAGATCCAGGAGTTTTCTCTAGGGTAGACAGAGTGATAATTTTTTTTCCTCCTCCAACCCTTCTGTTGGAAGGAATATCTCTCATCCCTTTGCTTTTGAGAGCCTCTGTAGGAATTTAATGTAATTTTGTTCATGAGGAATGTGAATGTTAAAGTTCCTCAGTCTCACTTGGCTGTGGGAAGAGGGAGAATTCCTGTATTTTACAGAAAAAGGAATGGACTCTTCAGGACTGGTATCCAGAGCTGGTTTTTGTGTGTCTTTCCCCTGCTCTGATCAATGCTCTGGGAACACTTTGGAAGTCTTGATGTGGAAAAAAGTAGACACTTTGCTACAACATAAACCACAATATTTAATAAGTCACATACCCAGGGCTCATCCAGAACTGAACCAGAGAAACCGTAACAAGGGAAATACATATTTGATGGTTTCTAGCCTCTTGGTCAGGGACTAAAGCAGTGTTATCTTCCATTTGCTCCAAGTTTGTTCCTTTTTTTCTGCACTCAGCTGTGCTTCCTGCCCGCTGCTACTCTCATGGGTCACAAGAGTCAGATGAAGAATTCGATGCTCGCTGGGTGACGTATTTCAACAAGCCAGATATCGATGCCTGGGAGCTCAGGAAAGGTAAGTTGAAGACCAGGAAACATAACCTGGCGTAAATAGATGTTTTGTGACCAGAAATAACAACTTTAGTTGGCATTTTCTGGACTCCCCATCCCTGGAAGTGTCCAAAGCCTGGCTGGAGAGGGCTTGGAGTAACCTGGTCTCTAGTGGAAGGTATCCCTGCCCGTGGCAGAATGGTGGACTAGATGATCTCTGAGCTACTTCCAACCCAAACCATTCCATGATTCCATAATTTTAACACCTGGATGGGAGGGAGAGTAACATTTGCTCCAAGGAAAGTGTGTTTGAGCTCTACTATGCTAATTTTTCTTTGGACTTTGGCTAATGGCTTGGCCGTAACTCCCTGCAGGCTTTTTGTGTGTCTGTCCCCAGTTGTTTGCTGTGGTGTTGCCAAGTTTTATTAAACTTACTCCATTTTTGGGGGTGGTAGAGGGCTGGGAGTGTCTGTAGGGCAGTATGGGGTGTGTGCACAGGGATTATGGGGTTGGGCGTGTCTGTAGGGCAGTTTGGGGTGTGTGCACAAAGGGGGATAGGACTGGGGTGTGTCCATGGGGCAGTATAGGAGCAATACAGTGGGAGAGTTCATCTTTTAAGGCCAAATAGGCCTTAAAAATGTGATTTCATAATAATTGCAGCCAGAAGGATCCTTCCAGCAGCACCTGGCTGATGATGGTTTATTTTTTTCTGTCACAGAGGAAGGGAGTAGACACAAGGGGTTCCTTTTGAGGGCATGACAAGCTGGTCCCAAGTTCCCCTTGGTGTTTCCTTGTCTCCACAGGCATAAACACACTGGTGGGTTACGACCTGGTCCCGGAGCCCAAAATCATCGACGCGGCTCTGAGGGCCTGCAGACGGTTAAATGACTTTGCCAGCGCTGTCCGCATCCTAGAAGTTGTAAAGGTGGGTGGAGCTGCTCTGTTCCCATTGCCAGAGCCTGGCAGCAGGGTGGCTTACCTTGGCTTTTTCCTGCTGCAAAGGACAGCCACACTTTCCTGCTGCCAGAATCTGTGGCAACGCTTGCTGGCTTCTTGAGGGACTGAGAGAGTAACTCAGAAAGGTCTCTTGGGGAACACCTGAAACCAGCTCCTTGAAACCTGAATGCAGCCTGGCCAGAGAATTAAGAGAAGCCAGGACTTTTATTTCAGCCCTAGAGGCCAGGAGCTCTGCTCTGCCACAAGCAATGGCTGGGGTGGGAGGCTTTGGAGATGTGTGTTTTGAAGTTACTCCATTCTTTGTTTTTTGGGTTTTTTTTTTCAGGACAAGGCAGGACCCCACAAGGAAATCTATCCTTACGTTATCCAGGAGCTTAGACCAACTTTGAGTGAACTTGGAATCTCCACTCCAGAGGAACTGGGCCTAGACAAAGCATAAACCTTGTTGGTAAGGTTTGATGTTGCTTCCCAGACTCTTGGCATGGGAGTCCTGCACCCCAAACCCCCTGGCAAAGACAACGTAGGCAAGACCTAATGTACCTTAATCCCAGACTGAAATAAAGCCCTAAATAAAAATCCTTGTGGAAGGGAAACAAATCTCTCAGCTCAGTTTCCTCAGGAGATGACCAGTGTCATATTGTTTTTTAAAATATTATGCTTAGAATCTCTATTCTAAGTATAATATTTAAAAAAAGAATATACTGTGTGTGTATATATATGCATAATATTAAAAAAAATAATATACTGTGTGTCAGACTGCTGCAAATAGTGCTTGATTCTGGATATATTAAGTCCTTTTCCTCCTCCTTGCCCTGGGATACAATGTCTGGGTGCCAGGGGTCCTGAATCAGCTGTGCTGGGAATGCAGTAGCTGCATTTTTGAGCTGAGCATGGTTAAACAAGGCTTTGAAACTAAAAGGGATGGAAATAACTCGTTTGGGACCTCATGGAAACTTTGTGGAGATTCTAGGCTGCTTCTTTTAATGGCTTTTTTTATTTTTCCCTTGTTATTTTCTATGCCAGGTGGATCACTCAAGCATTCTACTGATGCTACCAGATTGTACACCGTCACTTGGAGAGACAAACTTTAAATCTTACCTGAAATAACTTCTTCCTTTATTGAGTCACAATGGAAGTGCCGTGGAGTTGAACCTAATAAAGGAAAAACTGGTTTGACTCATGTGGAACCAGTGCCTCCTGTGGTTATTTCCTGTTGCTTTTGTAGGGAAAAAGAAGGAACAAACCATAAACGTGCTCTTAGGAGCTTCTGAATTGTTACTTACTCTGCAAAGCTCATGCCCAGAGCCTTCCCAAGCCGCGTCTCTGGGAGGGGAAGAGGAGGAGCTGTGTGGAGAGTGTGGTTCCTGTACGCACAGCTTTGGGGAGGAGACATTTCTCTGGGATGGTGTCCAAAGCCTCAGGCGAGGGTGGGAGGCACCAGTTTGTGTCCTCACCGGGAAGGGGATTTATTTGGGATAGATATTGTCCCTGTTTTCCACTCAGCCCTGGCCCCGGCAAGGGTTTGGGAAAGAAAATAAACCAACAGAAGTGGGAGGAGAAGGGAAATACCTTAATTCTGTTCTTTTCCTCCTAGAAGAGGGGAATTTTCTGGGAAAGCAGGAATTGGTTTCTGCACAGCGGGCTCGGGACAAGAGCCGTGGGGGGCAGGATGCCCTGCTGTCCTGTCCCGTCCCTTCCTGTCCCGCTATTTGATCCGTGGTCACGTCCCGGTGCCCCCTCCGATAGTCCCGGTGTCACATCCTATAGTCCCGGTGCTCCATCCTTTAGTCCCACTGCCCCGTCCTATGGTACCGTTGTCCCATCCTTTTGTCCCGCTGCTCCACCCTATGGTCCCGCTGCTCCACCCTATGGTCCCGGTGCCCCTTCCTATAGTCCCGGTGCTCCATCCTATAGTCCCGCTGCTCCACCCTATGGTCCCATTGCTTCATCCTATGGTCCCGCTGCCCCGTCCTATGGTCCCGCTGCCCCGTCCTATGGTCCCGCTGCTCCATCCTATGGTCCCGGTGCCCCTTCCTATAGTCCCGGTGCTCCATCCTATAGTCCCGCTGCCCCGTCCCGCCGTCCGGTCCCGCCGTCCGGTCCTACCCCGCATGCGCGGCAGAGGGGCGCGCCTTTTCCCCGCCTCCCATTGGCTGAGTCCCGCCAGCCCCGCGCTGCCATTGGCGGGCGGGCTGTGGGGCGGGGCCAGGGGCGGCCATGGCGACGGGCGGCGGCGGAGCCGGGCCGGGTCCCGGTCCCGGTCCCGGTCCTGGTCCTGGTCCTGGTGCGAGCGGAGCCGGCGGCCGGCGGGGCCCGGGGGTACGTGCGATGTACGGGTGTGCTGGGGATGCGGGGCTGTGTGGGATATCTGTACGGGGCTGTGGTTCTGTGTGGGATATCTGTACGGGGCTGTGGGGCTGTGTGGGATATCTGTACGGGGCTATGGGGCTGTGTGGGATATCTG